TCTTAATTTTTTTTTCTGTTATATCGCAGAGATATGAATTCGTGTCATCCACTCAGCTCATTTCTTGATCGAAACATGCCTGATCCCTGTCTAGCTTCGGGTTGAACGAATTCTTACAATAATAATGCAGCAGTAAAGTAAACACACGATGGTGGTACGAGGCAAGCCCGGATGGTAGGTTGCAGCTTTGTTGCAGCGGTTGAAAGCATGTGGGATGTAGGAGTACAAGGAAGGGAGCAAGCATATCCAAAAGATAAATGTACTGCGTATAGAACTGCATCGTTTTTAAATTTTGTTTCCTGCCAGATCAGGGTGTATAGCCTGTTCAGAATAAAAATACAGAGTTCCCCCGATTTCCCCGGATTCGAACCGGCTCCAATGGCTCACGAATCTTAATTCATACCTTTGAGATACTCATGTGGACTCAGAAGGGTCAGAACCTAAATTGCAGCCCTTAACTTCATGGAGATCACGCTTGATTGGTTCAGGGCATTTGTATTTTCCCACAAGGATCCCTTAGTAGGAGGGATGACACCCAAGCTTCCAGATTGTTGACCGGTGTTGAATGGGGTGGTAATGCCGCCTATTGCGCTGGCACATTTCTGATAGCTTGACCATGCTCCTTTGTCCAACATGATCTCCTATCTAAGACGGAGAGAATCCGTTCGGTTTGATAAGCGCCAAGCCTATATGAAATAGGTTGTTTTCAACCAGAATGTTCGAAGACGATCAGGATTATAGTGTATGTACTGTGTTGAAAACATCCAAAGCCCTCATTATCTTGCGAAGTCGAAAATGCCCGTTTTTGGAATTCCGCGAAGCTCGTATTCGTGCCAGGGATTCTAATCATGGCGCATGGAGGAAAAGGCAAGAAAATGTGATGTGTATGAGGCAATATTCTGCTTATAACCAGATAATTGCACTCTCATATCGTTGCCTAGGGGTGCTCTTTAAAATAGGAAATTTGGGGACATCGGAGCGTTTAGATCGTGGAAGAAACAGGTTTTACGGCCTCGTGTTTGTGAATTTTTGAGTATGCATTGTCATACACGATGGAACGCATCCTTTAAGAGGTGGTATTTGAAGGGGACGAAGAGGGAAGTTGATCTGGAGCTCAGTGAATCAGACAAGACATAAAAGGGAGTAAAATCCCCTTTCCAATACCTCTATTTTCTTCCCTCACGGTCGTTAAACCTCAAGAGTGTCAAACCTTAAAGCCAATCTAAGGACAATAGAGCCCAACCAAAATCTGGAAAAAAGAAAAGCAATATGAAGCTCAATATTTTGCTTCTCTGCCTGTTTTCAGGCCTAACCACAATCCTCGCTGCTCCTGAAATGGAGAAAAAGGCTGCCAGTAGGTTCGGCCAGTATGATGTATATGTCACAATCGGTTTTAGGGAAAAGCTAACGTATTTTCTGCTCTCTTATAGCCAACTCCCTAGACACCTCTCCTGCCACGAAGGGTAACGGTGATGTCCTCGCAGATGGTATGATTATATTTTGCTTTCTTATCTTCCTCGTCACGCCCGTTTCAATATGGACGGGAATCCTGCGGAGCTGATTAAGGTTTTCTTCCATTTCGAAATTGGTAGCTTGCTATTATTGCGTCGGCGTATGCCGCGGTTATTACTGCTGCGACCCACGCCCGAACTGCTTCTATGCCTCAGGCGGCTGTTGGTGTTCTGCCTAGTCAGAAAACTCTCGCGACGGCCAGCATAGCGCACAAGCAGCGCGTTCTTTCTGGGGTATATAGGACGCGAAGTTGCTCGTGAGTTGGATGGAAATATGATGAGATTTTGGATTGCCAGCTTTTGGTTTTGATACCGGGCATACTTGACATAAGGAACAATGGTGGTCCCGTGTCGCTCGTTAAAGAGACGAGGAGTGAACATTGAACCTCAGTGCTGTTTCATCAAATATCAATCAGGGGTTTCATGTTGAAGTAGCTAGGAAAATAAGTATGGGGCCAAACAATAAATTGCACTTGGGAAGAGTTGTTTCCGTGACTTGTGTGTTTTAATAGTATTTTATTGCATGTAGCTTTCTCGCACGGGCCTGAGATCGCCCCCTAGACAGTCAAAGCTGCATCCTAAAAAAATTTTAGGTTAAGTAAACCGTACAAAAGTAGTTGTTTCCTATTGTCACTATGGCACATGAAGACCGAACGGCAGGCTGATTACGTGTATTTCTGTTCGGAGGCACTCGAAAGTGTCCACCCGCCGATATTTTTTCTGGGGTTTTTAAACCGCTATGGTGGCTTCAACTTCAAAAGAAGTCGACCTCTCAATGAATCAAATATCAGATGGAGGGAATAATAGACCGGAGAAACATCAACTCGTTTGAGATTCTAGACCGGGAATACCCATTGGGCCAACTGGCGACGGCGACGTCAAAAAGGGGCAACAATAGAAAGCTGCAAGATTGCCTCGCGATGGCACAAAGGACAACAATGGGAGTTTAGAGATATTCCCTACCGACGTCAAAGAAAGCACGACAATAGGGTTGTTTCCTGCGCATAGTACATATCAAGTAGAATTGGTATAAAAGTTGCCTATAGTATAGTATGTATCGTATTTCTCTTGCGTCTGATCTTTTCTGAGTTGGTTGATGTTTTTTCCTATTCCTGAAAACCTAAATTAAACTATACTTCGCTAACCTTCTTTAGAAATAGCGGCCGTTTCTGACTAACGGATTACGGCATCCATCAGGTCTCAAACCCCTTATCGTCCCTTGTCTCGTAGGGACTCCCGACGACGAACGACACCCTACTCATTCCTGTCTCATCTTCACGTTCGCGTCGGAAGAGCAGCGCCCCAGTCATTCCCTAATAGTACTGCGATCCTTGGTCGCCCACACTCCTTTGGTCCTGCAATTGTCGCCGGCGACCTTGTTGCAGCTTCAACCCCCTCATTTGGTTCGCCCTGTTCCCCGTTCTTTTTCCCGTAATCCAGACATCTTTTAAACTGGTCCAATCCCCCTCACACCCCATCTTGTCATATCACGCCTATTCTGTGTCTCGATATCACACTTGCATGCAGCTTGTTTTAGTATCCATGCCTACCCACTAGCAACCGGCACTCCTATTGTTCAGATATTCAGCATGGATTGTTCTCCAGATATGCCAGAATCATCCATCGAGGCTCGGTCTTCGTTGGCTTCCGACAGCCGTGAGCCGCAGCCGACGGATTCTATGGTTACCGTACCCCTTTCAGACGCTTCATTCGGCCCTAAGACCACGGACTCTGTTAGTCGTACCTCCGCTGTGTTCTCGTCTCCAGTTGTAGAAGACCCCGAAGATATTGCTGAGGGAGAAAGCATTGTCCCACCAAATGAGGACACTCCACGGCGGCATTCCAAGGTTCGATCAGGAAGCACAGGTTCTTCTTCTTCTACAGGTTCTAGAAGTAGCGGAGGAAGCAGTGGGCCGGAATCTCAAGAGGGAAGTGAGCACGTTGACTGGAGAGAATTGGAAAAAACAGAGCAATTGGAGTCCAAGAGTGACCCTGGAGATGAGGTGAGTTGATCTGTTGAAAACGCGATTTCCTTCTACCATGGAATATTTTCTTACAGGCATTAGTCTACTGCTCTACTTCTTGCGAGACTAGAACAAGAGAACAATGCACTGGCCGGGAATCCCAAGTCAGGCTCACATGTTCGAAAGGACTCCCGTCCTCCGTCTCTTCATCAGATCAGAAAGCTTGTGGACGAACCGCAGAGAACTTCCCTGCGATTTTCCCAGCTCCCCACCCCTCAGATGACCGAGTTGGACTTCTGGGCTGCGCTTGTCGCAGACTACAACCACACTGCTCAACGATTACCTACATTGACCTCGAACAAGATCAGAGCGGGTGTGCCCCCACCATTAAGAGGAGTAGTATGGCCCAGCATTGCTGGTGCTAGAGATTCGGATCTTTTAGATGAATTTGAGAGGCTCAGCGGGGAGACTAGTCCATATGAGGGCTTAATTGGCAAAGATATTGGTAGAAGTTTCCCGAGTGTGGAGATGTTCCGTGACCCGAATGGAGAGGGACAGCAGATGCTAGGAAGGGTATTAAGATGTTTTAGTCTTTATGATGACAAGATCGGGTATTGTCAGGGATTGGGTTTTGTTGTTGGCCCTCTTTTAATGCACATGAGCGACGCTGAGGCGTTCTGTGTGCTCGTCCGGTAGGCACAACTCTTTTCTCATTGCCATTTATCACTCACTAATACTATTTTATTTCTACAGCCTCATGGACCACTATGATCTACGTTCCTGTTTCTTGCCAACACTGTCTGGTTTGCACCTACGGATATATCAGTTTCAGACTCTCCTTTCGCGTCATTTACCGGAACTCCACTCGCATTTGGAATCCCTGAGAATCGAGCCGGTTTATGTTTCTCAGTGGTTCTTGTCGTTCTTTGGGGTTACATGTCCACTGCCGATGCTTCTCCGTATTTACGACGTTTTACTTTTGGAGGGAGCTTGTGAAACATTGATGCGAGTGGCTCTTTCACTCATGCAGCGAAATCAGAAAAAGCTCCTAGCATGCGAGGAACTTGAAGATGTTATGCAGCTTTTGCTTGCCAGGAGTATATGGGATACGTAAGTGGTGTCCTTATTTCTTTCCCACAATAACCATGTACTAACGTCTCATCCCGATAGATATGGAGGTAGCGCGGACACACTAGTCCAGGACTTCGTATCATTGACTTCCTTCGTGACGCGGGAAAGTCTGCAGGAACTGGAAACAAGCTATAAAGAATCGCAAGCCACCTCAACCAGTGTTTACTTTCCTCAGATGCAAGCTGTCGCTTCAAGGTTCCTAGGACGTCTTTGGGCGGGATCCGGATCCCATAATTCTGCTAGATCACTTACGTTGAATCCAAACGCCCCCCCTTTGGTTTCACGGCCCTCCAGTGCTGTGCGACGAACCCCCTCCAAACAAAGCATGGCCTCTACACTAAATTCGTTCGAATCAACGTCCGATGCTAGCACCGCCCCAACTGAGTCCTCCTCAGCCCAAGCCTCCGCCGTGGATTCAACCAAGCGTAAAACGAGAATGGCTGGAACGCCAAATCAAGATAGAGACTTACACAGTCAAATAGAAGATCTATTGACAGCTCTGACGGACATGCAACGCGAACAGGCAGCTTTGGCCAAAGACCTCCAGAGAGAAAGGGAGGAGCGAGAAGAAGACCAGCAGGTTGGAAGGCTAATGCTTGGATATTTGAGGGAAAATTCCGGCCAAGACGAACATGAACATGCGACCCTACTCGCCAAAGCCATTAATCGATTTTCTCCCACAGAATCTCGCCGTGCCTCAATAGTTCAAACAAAACGCGAACTCCGAGATGAGATGGTTAAGTGGAAGGAGAAATATGCACAGGAGGCTTCAATATGTAAAGACCTGAGCAGACACATTGACGATAAAGATGTAGAGTGTTCCCAAGTTAAGGACGAGCTGAAAAGAGCACAAGCTCGCCTGCAGGAGGCCCACAAAGACAGACAAAGACTCGAGAAAATCATCCAAGAACTCCGTGTGAGAAAAAATTCCCGATCAGGCACCTCGCACGAGCCTCAAGGTTCCACAGGTTCCGCGGATAGAGGATCGACTGGCTTGCGCGAATTTAAGCTTTGTCGGACGGGTTCATCCGCTTCTACCTTCTCGAAACGAACCAGCAGCCTTGGAGCACAGGCATTTGTGTCCAACGAGGACTCCCGCGTAGGCCCTGACGAGAATCTTCTCCTCGAGCTTGTCAACGCAAAGACTGCGGAGGCGGTTGCTCGACAGGAGCTAGAAGAGGTGAAAGCAAAACTGGATTCTTTGAGGAAGCTGATAAGCCGTTCGGCAGACAGCTCAACTAGGGGGCCTGGTCCACTTAATTTAAGCCGCAGTCTCACCGTCAACTCACCTGCGACGTCCAAAACCTATCCACACTCCCCGACAGAATCTGTTAAAACGCCAGGTTCGAGCGCCGGCGTTTCTGCAGCGGGGTTTTTTAGCGGATGGACGAAACGGACCGTGTCTACCTCGTCTGAATCCCGATAGCCGTGCACTTTCCCTAATCCCCTCAGCATTAGGACGAAGTTCTTTGTTAGCAATTAGCAACAAACATGTACCTCAGTCCCCTCTTTCTGGGAGGCAAAATTCCAAATTTCGAGCATTGAATGGTCCCAACAGAGCTTGCTTCGTCCGGTCTTTGATTTTGCGCTACCGACCTACATTCATTCTTCATTTCATACACACCATACCGCCTTTTGATATTGCTGAACGGATCTCAGCATGGGGTCAGTTACACGACTAAGAAATTTTAAGTCTGGACTTTTCATAAACTGCGATTTCACAGCAAGCGGCTTCCTTTTCTCTTTTTTTGACTTGCATTTCACCTGGCACCTTATTTCCTTTTCACGAGACAATTTCATTGTTTACTTTAAAACCATTTTCTTTGCGCCTCTTAGGTATTTCTTACGGCTACCTTTTGCTTCTGGTCCCTCTTGGACAAACCCTACCACCTCTGTACCAACTTTTGTAATATCGTCATTTATGTATCCTAAGGTTGTCTTCCAGTCGCCGGAAATTTTATATTATTTTTATTTTTATTTTTGAATTTTCGAATTAATTTCTTGCATGGTTCTTTAGCCATCCCATTCTTTCTATGTGTTTCCTTTTTTCCTTTTCCTTTTCTTGTTTCCTTAGTTCTCTTCGTCCTGTTCCTATTTCTTTTCTTTTCTTTGTCTTTTCCTTTTTCTTTTTTTTTTTTTTTTGGCCCACCTCTAAACCATCTCATGTTCCATATGTACACTTCGTCAACGGTTCTCTATGTACTGTACAGCAATGCCTCACGTACGCAGTAAGATGAAACGGAGGAGTGTAACTTCTTTTTTTCTCTTCTTTGAAATGTTCAATGTTCAAGTATATATATACCCCTTTTGGACTTCACACCCGACTCTCATTCTTATAATATATAGCTTGCCGTGTTTTCTTTTCTTTTTTCGCTTTTTTTCCTTTTTTGTTTCCTAATTCATCTTTTTCTATCTTCTGTTGCCGGTTTTCTTGGAGATATTTACTCCTTCGTCATGGTTGGCTATTGGGATGTTTTATTTGACCGCCATCCTACTGTTTGGCTTTATTAGCCCGCCATTCCTATTTTGTGCAGGCGAATTTTATTCTTGTCTCATAATCTTTTTGATGGTTTGGTATCTTGGTAGGTAGGTAGGTAGGCAAGGCCTTATGTTACCTACTTTATGGAAATGCCATAAAGATGTTCCTTGCAAAACTAATTATCTTATTTTGTTCTTGGCTCGAGGAGTTACAGTAATCCTTTGCCGTTTCCGTACATCGTGTTTCTGCGACCCCTGACGGCCACTGAACTCGGCCGAGCTTCCCCATATATCAAGAAGTTTAGTTTATCCTCATTTGATTTGATGTAAATCCATCTAGTCAACACTCGTTGTAGCCAACCAAAAAAGAGCCCAAAAAGAGAAAGAAAAAGACACTTCCCATGGGAGCAAACTTCCACCAATACTGTCCCCTTCTTCCCCCTGAGCCATTTACTTCAATGAGTAAAATGTAGAGCTGACCTATTAACAAATACCCCCTCCTCAACATTCCTCCTACCACCTCTTAAACCCCCCAGTCGACAAACTAGGCGGCAAATCCTTCTTCCTTGTTCCCCATTTACTCTCCTCACCCCCAAGAATCAGCTCCAAAACACCCCCTTTCTCAAATAAATCATGTCCAGTCCAGTTCTTGTGCCAAACCTCCCCATCGCGCCTTGCCTCTTGGATATAATTCGCCTCATATGAAGGATCAAAATTTATGTTCCAGATAATCGCTACTTTCCCCGTGAGGGGATTGCGAATCTTCTTTTTCCCCGGTGGCCGAATGGTTAATGCGGCCACCCGGTAGCGCCTTGGTGTGGGAAACCAAGGCGCGTGGGTTCGAAACCCGCAGGGGATACATTAAATCCGGAACTCAAGCACCTCAGGTTCCTAATAAATACAGAGGTGTACAAATCGCTCCAATGAATCGCTGTGTGTTCCTGGGCTGGGAAGTTATTATCGCATGTATCTAATTGTCACTCCTTTGTATTTTCCTATGTTCTTGTTATCTTGGCGTGGTCTCAACACCTGTATTTCCTCCTGTATAACCAACACTTGACCTGTATTTAACATCACGCAAGGACTCATCATAAGCTCCGCTTGCATATGAGTATAATGGAATAATAATAATAATAATAATAATAATTGCGAATCTTCACCTCCGCAAAGAACGGCGGGGTGATGAGGTATACATCCTGGCCGGCGACGGGGTATAGACCGATCATCGCGAGCGCGAGGAACGAGCCCATCGCCCCGCTGTGGTAGTTGCCGGGGATGCCATTGAGGGAGTTGTTGAATTGGGAGGGGATATAGAAGTGCGCCCGCTTTGCGGAGAGCGCGGGACAGCCCGAGTAGTGGTACTGGTACACGGGGAGGAAGGCTTGTTCGTCTCCCACGTACAGCAGACTGGACTCGTGCAGGTACTCGAGACGCTTGGTGTATTCGTCAGGTCCGCCTAGCGTTGCTACGAGCGTTGCCATATCCTGGGGAACGTAGCTATGGTTCATTTTTGTCAGGGATACAAATAGCTTAGCTGGAGCGCAGGGGCAAGTGATATGGGAATGAGCATCATCACAGATTGAAGAAAGAGAAGAAAAAGATCTTCAAATAAGAGAAAGCAGATTGCAAGACATGTTATAATATCTTGAAAAAACACTGTAAGAAAGTAGAATAATAATGATTTCAAGTAACACTTTTAATAAATTTAGACTGAACTAAGTATAGAAATAATACAGATGACTAGACTAGCCACCGGGACCATGAATTTCACATTTGATCCCATTTAATCTGGTCTCATACATTTCTTGGTGTGAATCCTGCTGGGACTAATCATTAAAAAAACATGCAAAGTGACTATATATCAGATCTCAAAATAAGATCATGACTTAGAAAAAATAAGAAAGTAATCTTATTTAATCTTATTTAGTTTTATTCTTAGTATAAAGTTACTATTTTTAGACATTTTAAGGTTTTTTTTAGACTATTTTTAATTTTTTTAAAAGTAATACTTTTTGATAACACTTAAATAAGATTTAAAGTCATTTAAAGTAATTAAAATAATTTAAATTGAGAAGTAAAAATCATAATCTTATTTAAAAAATATGATAAGAGTAAATAGTAAGTCTTACTAAGATAGTATAAGACTACTATCTAATGTTAAAATCATGTAATGAGATTAGTTAAATTGATAATAAAATTATTAAATATTCTAATTCTGATCTTAGACACAGTCATACAGTCTACAGATAATATTATATATAAGAGATTGAAAAAGAAAGTAATAATAAGACTTATACAGTAGCAGTGAAATTAGAAGAAATCTTAAAAATAATTTAAAATCAAGATAAAAAAAGAGAGAGAGAGAAAAAGTATTACTGTAAATAAACAGTAATATAAGAAAATTAAAAAAATATTAAAATTAAAAATAAAGAAATTAAAATTGATAAATTTTTTACTGAAAGATAATGAATTTTAATAATATTTCTGTTTTTTAATTAATTAACAGAAGCTGATAGAGAAAAAAAGAATTAAAATTTTATTCGGATTTTAAATACACTTTATAATTCAGAAGATTAAAAAAATAACTCTGTTTTGTAAGTATATTAATTTATTTACTGTTGAAATGTGTGGCGGGCTGCACTTAATCAATTATATAGACTATTCTGTTACACTTCACAGATTTCTACTGCTTCAATCCTCAGCTGAAAATCTATGAAACTTCTATTTTTCCGCCCTGAAGTTCCACCGCGTACACTACTGTGTATGTGTATAAATATTCACTCTGATTGCTGATTTTCACACTTTCTCTTTCTTTTCTTCTCTAACATTTTTCACTTTGTTATATAAAATCTATAAATATCATACTAATCTATTCAGTGTAGGCCTCTTATACTTGAAAAATATTCATTGTCTTCTTATTAGAAATGATTATTCATGTATCATCTTCTCATTAGAAATAATTATTTATTGAGAAGATATCTGAACATGTAATAATATATGTGACGGGCTGCGCCCGATCATTATATAGACTATTCTCTTACACTTCATAGATTTTGCTGACAGCTCTGATTCTCAGTCATTCTTGATCACTGATTCTCAGCTGAAAAACTCATGGAATTTCTATTCTTTCACCTCAAAGTTTCACTGTGTACACACTGTGTATATGTATAAATATTCACTTTAATTACTGATTCTCACACTTTCTCTTTCTTTTCCTTCTTTAATGTTTTTCACTTTGTTATATAAGACCTATCAATATTATATCAATCTATTTAGTGTAGGCCTCTTATAGTTGAAAAACATTTATTATCTTCTTATTAGAAATAATTATCTATATATCATCTTCTTATCAGAAATGATTATTCATTGAGAGATATCTGAATGTGTAACAACATATAAGAAAGAGAAACAGTTAAGTGAACACTGAGTTCTCAGATAGAAGCTTGCTTATCTGTTACTCTGACTCTGTAATAAGATCTTACAAGAGAATATTAGTGAAAGACCTGAGAGTTCTAACATCTCAGATGTATAAGATATTTATATAATTACACTTCTTCAGATATCACAGATATTTCATATTCAATAAATGATAAAATCATGTCTAATAATAATATGAGAGAACTCTTAAACATGAGTATAGAAGTAATATCACAGTGACTTTAAGCAATGTTGAAATTACAACAGTAATAGATAGCTAATATGCATACAACTCAATAACTTCAATATAAGAAAATTCAATAATTAATTCAATAAGAAACTCATACAATTTCAACATCTGCAGAATTGAATATAAAAGCACTGAAAGAATACTTAGATACTTCTGTATATTTCAATGTCTCTGATCTCACTCTCTACTTATCATGAAGAATGAAAATACTCATGAAACTGAGTATGAATGAAGATGTCATCAGTTCACTAATCAATCAAGATTAATATATCAATGAATAATTAAAGAATTATATAAAATAGAAGTTTCATTCACAGATAAAAGCATGTAAATCAGTGTTATAAATATCTGATAATATTATCAAATATCTTGATATTCTGTTCTGAGACACTGTCATATAATAGAAAGTGTTAGATTAATTACAGAGTATCTGACAGAGAAACACTTCTCTTACAACATTCATTTCTGACTTCAATATCAAGATTCTAGAAGCAGGTAATTAATCTTGAGAGAATTGAATGAAGATTAATATACTCAAGAAGATATTAACTTTCAAACTCTTACAGACTCTTATAAGTATAGATAAAGATCAGACTTATGAAGATTTCTGTATATAACTTCAGACATTGAATGACTGTCTTATCAAGTTCAAGAGTATACAGAACAGTGATAGAAGATGTTATATTTATACACCTGCACTGAGAAATAACTCAGTCACTTATACACTCACACTGAAGAATAACAATGATGCAGATGTCATGAATTAAGTAGACTTGAATATCTATGCATAAGCATGAGTCTTTATTATCTGAACAGGCTTCTAAGTTCCTGAGATCACTTCTGAAGAAGTCACTGATTAATGTCAATAAGAAGTGTGTATCAACTGTAACTGATCAGAATATATTGCTTTCAACTACTGATCAGTCTATATATCTTCTCACTTAAAGAATGAATCAGTGTCTGTCTGCATTGATTACATTACAGTGAAGAAAGATTCAGAAGATAATTATAAGAATACTTCAATGAAACAGAGAAAAGATTAGCTTCTATTCAAATTTGTAAACAGAAGCTTGAAGAGATTGAATGACAATAATTTAAAGAGAAAATGATAATGAATGTGATTCTTGTATCTACTGTGATTGATAATATATATAATATGAAAGCTATGATAGACAGTAATCTATGTTATTATACAATGATTAAATCTTCAGTTATAAGATATTACAATCTTCAGCATATTCTCTTATCAAAACCTCAACTTCTTACAGAATTTGATAACTTAAAAGATATTTATATCTGTTACATAATGAAGTTGATTATAGATGTGAAAGAACATCAATATGAAGATATCTACATATATAAAGTTGATAATCTTGATTATAATCTTATATTAGAACTTGTCTGACTATCTGAATAAGACATCTTATTGAATACTTGAAACAGAAGCTTGATATTCTCTAACAATGATAGAATTCATAAAGATGACATTTACAAGATCATGAATCTGACACAGATCTCTATTAACACATATGAAATGCTCTGAAAAAGAAGTTACTGACAGTAGAATTATATGATAATCTATTCTATCAGTCTAGCTGATATTAAAAATATTCTAGAAAAGTTATCTCATGTTATAATAACAGATTCTTGTACAAAACTCTCTTAATATCATGAATATCTAGATGTCTTCTGATAAGATAATATTATAAATATACTCTTCTTATGAGATTCTGAAGTGAATCACAGTATCAAGTCAGAGAAGAAGAATAATAAGAACTCTGAATCATTATAAGACTCTCTTTACAATATGTTCTGAGATGAACTTCTTCTTCTTCAAAAAACACTCAATAATCTATTGAATAAAGAATTTATATATATTAGTAATTCTTTCACTGCAGTCTCTATTCTCTTTAGAAAGAAATCAGATGAAGAACTCTGATTCTGTGTAAACTATTGAGAACTGAATAGAATAATAAAGAAAGATTACTATCTGCTATCTCTTATCAATGAAACTCTAGCTTGCATTGAACAAGCTCAATGATTTACAAAACTAGATAGTATTACTGTGTTTCATAAGATCTATATCACTGAAGAAGATGAGTAGCTTACAGCATTCTGAACATGATATGATCTCTTTGAATAAGTAGTTATTCTCTTCAGACTAGCTAACACTCTCAGTATATTACAGAAGTATATCAACTGAGCACTCTGAGATTTTCTTGATAAATTTGCATCTGCATATCTCAATGACATTCTCATCTTCACTGATGAGTTTAGAAAAGAATATCAAGAATATGTACAGAAGATATTACAATGACTATAAGAAGCAGAACTACTAATAGATATTGATAAGTGTGATTTTGAAGTCAAGAGTATTAAATATCTGAGTTTTATTATAGAAGCTGATAAGAAAATTTGAATGAATTCTGAGAAAGTCTTCATCATTCTTGAATGAGAAGCTCTGTGTACTGTGAAAAATGTATAAAGCTTCATTGAATTTGCTAACTTCTATCAGCAATTTATATAAAACTTCTCAGATATCATGAGATCACTTACAGAACTTATCAAGAAAAACTCAGTATTTCAGTGACCAGTGAACACTGAAGCTGTATTCACACAGATGAAGAAGATGTTTATTAATACTTCTCTACTAATGATATTTAACTCTGATTATGAAACAGTTATTGAAGCTGATTTCTCTGATTATATAACAGAAGAAGTGATATTATAATATAATGATAAAGATGTTCTACAATCATGTATCTTCATATCTAAGAAACTGAGTTCTGCTGAATGCAATTATAAGATCTATGACAAGAAACTTCTCATAATTATATACTATCTAGAAGAATGAGACTCTGAACTCTAAAGTATCTCTGAATTTGAGATAATCACAGATTATAAGAATCTCAAGTACTTTATAATTATCTGTAAACTTACTGAACAACAGATATAATAATCTGAATTTCTAAGCTACTTTTATTTTAC